TGACCACCAGTCTGAGGTTCTTCACTGACTATCAATGTAATGGAACATGCTTTCCACTGACCACAATGTAAGAAGCATTCTTCCCACTGACAAGTGTAATGGGGCCCTTCTCCCAATGACCACTAATTTAGGAGGGTCCTTCTCCCACTGACCACCAATCTAATGGGCCTACTCACTAACATTAATTTAACAGGACTTTCTTCTCACAGACCACACATGTAAGCATTTTTCCAAGTGACCACCAATGCAATGATGCCCTTCACCTAAAGACCACCAATTTAAGAAGGTCCTTCTCTTACTGATGACCAGTCTAAGGGGGCTCTTCTTTGCTGACCACTGCAAGAGAACATTTCAATGACCACCAATGTAAGCGGGGGCACTACAATGACCACTAATGGGAGGGGAACTTTCCCACTGACCATCAATATAATAGGGCATTTATCCACTGATCATCCACATTATGAAACTGCAATTTCACTGCCTTCTGGCAATTGTTAATCATTCATTTAATTTTGTTTGTTCATGAAAATGTTGTATAGGACAACCTAGGGTGTCAAACATGCTAAGTACTTCACTTTTATTTTTATATCTCATGCTTCATGCACATGTACCATGACCTGATATATAGTATTTAGCGGGTTTCCCTGAAACCTGAAAGTTATTTTTAAGGGTTCCTCCATGTTAAACAGTTGAGAAAAGTGCCCTAGTTTCTGATGTAAAAGCAAATACTGTATTGAAACAATGCTACCAGGTACCAGGAAGGTGTTTGTACTGTAACATTTCTTTATTTGTTAGCCTTCGGTTGTTAAATATACACTTGAAAGCATGTTGTTATCTGTTTGGTAAGTGCAAGAAATAGCTGTTGATCATGTGAAAAATTCAGTTGCTGTCCTGTGCATACTTCCTGTGTTCTTCTCTCAAGGAGAGTAATTGGCCCTCTCTGTTTTTTGTCTTGATAATTCAGAATGATTAGCCTTTAGGTTGTGGAGATGGGAGAGTGGGAGGGTATTTTAGCAAAGGAAACTGGGCAGGGCTGACACCATTTAGTCTACAAAAATGCTGTGTTGATAGCCCACAACAGGACATTGGAACACTTTTTTGTATTTGCAGGGTATTTTGAAGGGGTAAAAACTTTTTTTTGCCCTAACATGCACACAGGAAACCTGAGCCTTGCAAAACGGAAATTCACCTACTGGGGCTGATGTACAGAACCTTTTTTAGAATCCCATGGGCCTCCTCTTCCCCCAAAGTCTGAACTTTGGACAGCTCTTCATTTTCCCTTATATTCTCCTGCTGGGAGTTTGGGTGGAAGCCAATTGTTGTTTTTTGTATCGGGGAAGAAAAAAAAAAAAAGAGAACCTCAAGGAAAGCCACACAAAAAGCTCATTAACTACTTTTAGAAAGTGTCCTAGGTGGGAAATAAAACCTGTCGAATAGGTGCAGTGTGGTGTGGCAGGCAGCACGCACTCAGAGTCCCATTTTACAAACAATGTTGTATTAGAACAGCAATTTAACAGGCCCGTCCGGTGCCACGTAAAACTCTGCAGTAGATAGACAGCGGACAGAGGACTCAGAGGTGCCGACAGTGTCTGCTGAAGTGTGGTCTGGCAAGTCTAATCCAAAAGGGAGGCTGTGCTCTCTTCCTACTTCACTGGAACCTTTCTCTATCGCTTCCACTGTCCTGGACAGATAGGGAACCTGTCCCTAACCTGTGCACTCACATAAAGTGCACCAAGTCTGGGAGCCAGGGTATTAAATAGACTATGCCTAACCCAATATGGCTGCTAAAGCCATATGGGACACCAGCATCCAATTGAATAGCTACTCCTCTGTGACCAAGGAAACCATAGAGGAATCAAGTTCCTCTTGGTTTCCTCCCCTATCTGCATTGCTGCTGTGGTCGCTTTTCTTTCCCAACCCAGTAGTAACCCAGTGATAGTGATGGAACTTACAGCTCTGCACATTGTCAAGCAGAGTTCCTAAAAATTCCTATGGTTGAGAGGGAAGCTGTTGGTGACCAGTTCACAGGAGCTGTCTTATTCACCCTCTGATTTTGTTATGGCCTGTGTCCACAGCATTTGACTTGTCAGTTGCATCACTTTGAGGTCAGTCAAAACTCATTGACAGGCGCATCTGACGTGCAGTTGACCACCTTCAGCATTAGAAGTCAAGAAAGTTTTGCATTTCTATAGACGTGTATGGGAACGCAAACCTCTCTTGAAGTGAACAAAAGCCCATGGACGCAGGCCCTCAATTTAATCTGTCAATTGTGTTGGACTCAAGACCTACATACTTGGAGGCACCACGATCATTTAGATTTGCATGTGTAGTAAGATAAAGAAAAAATTCAAGCTCAATTGCTCTGACGAGGTAGCTCCAACATAGCAAAGCTTCCCTCAATGGACACCCAACAGTAGCTCAAATCATAGAAATACAGAAACAAGTGCCAGACCAAAAACCGAAGAATAGAGTCCAAGCTAATTTTAATTGCTAATTTTAAAAAAAGTCATAGAAAAACAGCCATTGCATTTTTGGGGTCAACACCAGTCTATCTTCATCAATATTCAACACAGGATAAAACTTGGATTGGCACAGAAAAATCAGTGACTTCAAAGACCTATATTAGAACCAATAGCAAATTTTGCAAATGGAGCAACAACTTAACAGTTGCAGAGCAGCAATGGATGTACAGGGAGTGTTGGTCATCAGGACCTTGTCCGCTATGGGAGGTCTTTTGCTAGCACCTCCACCATACGTGTTCTCCAGGCTTCTAGGGTTAACCAAGGTAGCTAATTTACTAGTGTTAGTGCAGTAAAGTGCACGACCATGCAAAACAAGAGCCGCTTCCTCTATAGTGGGGGGCTGCATCTATTGCGTTCCTATAACCACTTAACCTAACTGCATCAGTGATGATTTTAAATGTGCTATAAGCAAGAACACGTAGTCAGTGTGGGAGTATGGGCTTCAACATCTCTTACAATGTAAATCTAAAATATTGTTTTTGGCTGGAGAGCATTAAAGTCAACAGAGCGGTCTCTGCTTCCTTTCTGCTGCTGTTTACACTTCCAATTATGGCTGCAGCTAAGTTCATGGGCCTCAATGACCTTACAACCACAGCTCAGCAATGTAACTATGGTTGGAGGATGAGGTAGTGCCATGGATGCCTACCTTAAATGTCAGCTCAGTGAAGACTAAATGATCACTTAATTTTTGATGAAAAATTACTTCAGTTACATAAACTCCAGAGCCACTCTTTAAAAAAAAATCTGCTTCCATGATCTGAGTTGACACAATGAATTCTCATGGGTACAGTCAGGGACGGACTGACAACTCATGGGGCCCCCGGGCAATTGGGGATCATGGGGCCCCTGTGTCCTTGCCCAAACTCAAAAAAGCCTATGAAAAAGGTACCAGGGGCATCTCATGGGGCCCCCTACTGACCCCGGGCCCTCGGCAGTGCCCGAGTTTCCAAATGGTCAGTCCGCCCCTGGGTACAGCTGCCCACTGAGAAGACCTCAGATAGAAGCTTCATGGTAGCAGGCCCTTACAACTTGGCTCTTTAGCCACTCTGCATACAGGACAATTTTTTTTACATTTTTCACACATTTTAAAATCTATATTTTTTTTTTTTTTTGGGGCTAGAAAATTACTTAAAACTGCCTAACCATTCTATATTTTCTGGAAGCAGAGGCCCCATAAAATAAAATGGTGGCAGTTGCAATTTTTATGCTGTGTAACATTTGCACCAATGTTTATTAGATCTATGCTTCAGGAAAATAATAAATGAAAATGAATTTTAGTGCACACAAACACAATACCCAATTTTTGTAAAATATAAAAGATGGGGTTGCATCAAATAGATACCAAACATGTCAAGCCTTAAAGCAGAAGTAGGGCCAAAGCTCTTTTGGCCCCCCTTCTCCTGTGGGTCACAGGGGTACACTTAGTTCTGCACTCCCTTGACACGTATTCAGCCAACAGCAGGCTAAAGTATGCTTTCGGCTGACGTCACTAAGCCAGTCCAGGCTCTGAAAAAATCCACCCTGAAGCCTGGACTGGCAGCTGGCTCAGCCTTTCAGCATGCTGCTGAGAGCTATAGCCAGCTGCTCCTGCCCCCGCCCCCTCCCTAGCTCAGTGAGCGATAGAGAGGCAAAGCAGAGAGCCCATGACTGACAGTCACACTGTCTGCTCAGTAAAGACCAAGGACTGAGTGATCAGTGGTCTTTCATCATTTGGTTCTTGGTCTTAGATGCGGCGGAGGACAGATGCAGCATTGGGCGATGCTGCATCCACTTAGGGGAGGGAGTAGGATTATTTACTTTTTAAATTCCCGTACTTCTTTTAAAATTGTTACCCTTTACAGGCTCTACAGCTTCCTGGATCACTTTAACTGTAATGCCAGTCTCCAGCTGAAAGAAAGTTGGCAAGCTCACAGCTATGACTGCTGCCATGAGTGCCTGAATTGCAGGCCATTTATAAATGGCCTATGGATGGCAACTGGTTAAAAAAAATTAGCAGCCAAAACTTTTTTTTAGTTTTGGATAAAGTTAGGAAGGGAACTCCTGCCAGGTTGTTTTTTGTGTACCATTTCCCATTTCCACCCCATTTTCATTGGAAATTTCCCTTCACTTGCTGTCTCAAAGATGCCATGGAGAAAATCTCCCAAAGTGAGAAGTCCCCTTTTAGCCAGTTATTCCCGAAACAGGTGTCCCCATAGGACGATTTCCCCTTACCTTTGTGTTTTGGGGACCGCTAACTTCTTGTCTCGGTGGCAATGGTCACCAGCACAAATGGGGGAAGCCCCAATGGGCACACAGACCGCAATAAAACTTGACAAAGGGTCTTCACCTCCCCCATTCTATCCAAAATAAGATAATGGTTTTGCCCAGAGATACACTGTAGGTAGAACATTTTCACCAATTATCCTCCACCTATATCCAGCATAAATATATTTAAATATTTTCTCGTTCCAGGTAATCATAATGTATATTTCAGGTTACCTTTAGGAATGCCACTCAGTTTGGCTTCGGAGATGCGTAGGTAGTTGAGTTTTAGACCGTTGAATGCTCCAGCTTCAATGCCTCCGTTTTCAAGAGGGTTCCCTCCCATTTCTAAAAGGAAATGAACACAGCAAAAGTTGTTTGATCATTATGGCCGATCATCATTTTTCAAAATTTTGTTTCCTGTTCCCTTCAGTAAATTCGTCTCATGTGTTTGATGGTATTAGAATTACAGCACCTTGATGAACCACCAACTTCTGACATTGTTAGCCAGGGCAGAGGGATAATATACTTCTATAATAGTCAACAAGCTCAAAACCATGAAAATAGTACTGCTTAGACATGTGTGGTTCGTTTCAAATTGAAATTCAAGCATAATGTTTGTTGTTCGGATGTATCAAATTTCCAAATCACAATAGTGACGAATTTCGATGAATCCAAAATCAATTCTAATGAAACAAATTATCCTAATTCAAAAATGAATTTGAATTTGAAAATTAATTTGAAATGGAAAAATATTGAAATAAATACAGTAAGGTATAAAAGTGAAATAAGATGATGATTCCTACTTAGGCTGCTTTATAGAATAGAAAATAATAGAATAGAATAAAACAGAATAGAAAAGGATAGAATAAAACAGAATAGAAAATAAAAAATAGAAAATAAAGGAGTAGAATAGAATTGAATAGAATAGAAAAGAATGCAAAAATAGAACAGAGTGGAAAAGAATTTCCAAATCACAATGGTAATGAATTTCAACAAATCCAAAATCAGTTATAACTAAACAAATTATCTGAACTTGAATTTTGGAAGACTGTTATATTCGTTCTCTTTTAGTCTATTCTAAGCTATTTTATTTTTTTCTATTCTTTCCTACTGTATTCTATTATTTTCTCTTCTTTTATTTTCTATTCAATTCTGTTTTATACTATTCTACTATATTTTATTACTTTGTTTTTTATTCTATTATTTTCTATTTTATTCCTCTTTTCTATTCTGTTTTATTCTATTCTCTTCTATCCTTTTCTTTTCTGTTTTGTTTTATTCTATTCTATTATTTATTTGATTATTTATTTCAGGTACTTGTATAGCGCCGTCCATTTTACGCAGCGCTTTACACACATATATATATTGTACATTCACATCAGTCCCTAACCCACAAGGGGTGTACAATCTAAGGTCCCTAACTCACATTCATACATACACATACTAGCGACAATTTAGACAGGAGCCAATTAGCCTACCAGCATGTCTTTGGAGTGTGGAATGAAACTGGAGTACCCAGAGGAAACCCACGCAGGCACAGAGAGAACATACAAACTCCAGGCAGGTGGTGCCGTGGTTGGGATTCGTACCGACGACCCGAGTACTGCCAGGCGGAAGTGCTAATCATTTACCCACTGTGCTGCCCATTTAGCCACTGTGCTATTCTATTCTATAAAGCAGCCTAAGTAGGAATAATCTCATTTCCTTTTTCTTTTCCAATAATTCTTAATCGAAAACAGTTTTTTTCAAAATGGTTTGTTGCAGCTCCTATGCTATACCTGTAGAGAACTCTACAGATGGAAAACAGGAGCAGAAGCCATCTTTTACGCATCTCATTCACATTTCTGCAACAGGGAGTCGGTGTCTGTGTGCAGACAGTCACAATTTTGTTGAGGGTCAACAAGCTATTTTTGTTCATGCATGCTTGCTCCTCCCCTTCGCAAAAAAAAACTGGGGGGAGGTAGCAAACCAGCAGGACTTCACCTTTTTGAATTTGTACTTTACTTTCTTGTTCCTTTCCTTCCCTGGCACGTTTGCCCCCACGGTCAGGAAGTGGACTGTCCCTCAGTGTCATCACATCCATTGCAGGGCTATGGACCCTAATGAAGTTGGGACCTTGGACTGCTGGAGCACGGGGAAGAAGATGCTGTAGAGATCGCTCTACCATTGCGGAGGACCAGGCACGTTTTCTATGTCCCCTAGATCTTAATAAACAATTGACCCTTGCAGTACTGCCACAGCCACAATACAAGGAATCATTTCTAAGTTTAAGTAGTGTGGCTTTCAGCCCGGGTTCACACTTGTACGGTACGGCATATCGCCTATGATTTGCAAAGGAACCTGTGCAAATCACATGCGAATTCTGTGCGGTGCGATTTGAGCCATACGTTTTGTGTAGTTCAAATCACACCACATCCACACCAAAAAGGTGCAGGATCCTTTTTTTGGTGCGCATCAAAATTGAATTGCATGGGTATTCACACCCATGCAATCCGATTCTGCACATTGCACCGTGTTTTTTTGTGGACCCATTTCACGGTGTTAACGTAACATACACACCCACAGCGGTTCGCAGGAACAGGGTGCGATTGTGATGTGGTTTGGAATTCGCACAGAAACCGCTGCAGATTCCGCATCACATCGGTGTGAACCTGGGCTAAAGGATTTCTAAACCCTAAGGCCATATGAAAACCATATTCTCTATGATGCCTTTTTTCCTGCAAGAGTTTAGCGGCAGAAAAACATGTTAACCGCTTTCCCGCCCGCCCTATAGCAGATATACTTCTACAGGGTGGCAGGGGTGCGCAAATCACGTGTGGGTATATCAAGGATGGATTGACCATTTGGAAACTGGGGCACTGCCCAAGAGCCCGGGGTCAGTAGGGGGCCCCATGAGATGCCCCTGGTTCCTTTTTATAGGCTTTTTTGAGTTTGGGCAAGGACACAGGGGTCCCATGATCCCCTATTGCCCGGGGACCCCATGATCCCCTATTGCCCGGGGGCCCCATGAGTTGTCAGTCTGCCCCTGGTGTGTATATGTGATTTTGCATTTCCGGGTAGGGGGTGCATGTGAGTCGTACCTGTACAGTGTCAGTGCTTTTTATTAGCACTGTTCACTGTATTGGTCATTTTGCGCCGTGCCAGAAAGCCCACCGCAGTCCCGCTATAAGTCGCTGATCGCCGCCATTACTAGTGAAAAAAAAATCCCAGTATATATACCGCCATTTGTAGACGCTTTATGTTTCCCTAGTAGCACACAGTTAACCCTTTGATCACCCCAGCCGTTACCCCCTTCCTGCCCAGTGTCAGTACAGTGTCAATGCTTTTTATTAGCACTGATACCTGTATTAGGGTCATTAGGATGTCCGTGGCAGTTCCCTCCCAGTGTCAGAATGCCTGCCGCAGTCCTGCTATAAGTCGCTGATTGCCGCCATTTCTACTAGTATAAAAAAAATGCCAGTATATATACCGCCATTTGTAGACACAGTATGTTTCCCTAGTAACACACAGCACACAGTTAACCCTTTGATCACCCCAGATGTTAACCCCCTTCCTGCCCAGTGTCATTAGTACAGTGTCAGAACTTTTTATTAGCACTGATAACTGTATTATGTCATTAGGATGTCCATGGCAGTTCCCTCCCAGTGTCAGAATGCCCGCCGCAGTCCTGCTATATAAGTTGCTAATCGCCACCATTACTAGTATAAAAAAAATAAATCCAGTATATATACCGACATTTGTAGATGCTATAACTTTGCTAAAAAAAAAATCCCAATACGTGTAAATTATTTGGTTTACGTCAAAGACATGAAGCAGAATACATTTAGTTTTTGCATAGGCATTCATGTGTGTTTATGCATGTTCATGTGCGTTCACACGGCAGGTGTTAATGCATTCTATTGGCCAGAATGTTCATTTACTCTGGCCCTTAGGATGTATTAATGTGCTAATACACATAAACCGCTTGGTGTTAATGCACATTTAGAAGCTTTTGAATCTCCTCTTCTGAACGTAACTTTGGTGGGGTTTTGTTTCTGCCGCTAAACGCCCCTGCAGCTAAACTCCTGTAAATGCTTATATTGCCCATGGACACATGGAGGAGCGTGTAGAGGCAGAGAAAAAAAAAGCTCAAGCACCCGTAAAAGCAACATTTTTGAGCTCAAGTGTGCATGAACCCCTAATAATCAACTTCTCCTTTTTCCTGCCTTTTGGTCTGTTACGTATACCACTGACAGTGTTTAGTTATATCTGTTCAATAAGTGCAAAAAAAGATTCCGCTAGAAATCCAGTAAGCTTCAAACTCCCTTGAGCACAGGCAGTGTTACCAGCCCAGTTCTCTTTTGTAGCCTACAGAACACCTCCCCTCACATAGAAATGAAGATGGGTAGGTGTTCTGTAGTCCAAATAGGGATGAGCAGCCTAGGGCAATGGTACTGCTCCAAATAGGGATGAGCAGCCTAGGGCAATGGTACTGCTCCTGCATGTTAGCCACTAAGGGGGCATTGTGCTAGAGTAGTGTCTGGGTACAGCAGACAGTGTCCTTAGGTGCTAGGCCCCTTTTAGTTAGAGCCCTTCTGCAGTGACGTCATGGGAGAATCCAGTCCCAGATATAAGCCAGGTTGGGAGGAACCCTAGTACAATTGGTGCATAAGAGCCAAACACCTGACTCTAATGTAACCAGCACAGTGGACAGGGTTGCAGGTTGGGGAGGAGTAGACCTGCAAGCTAGGGTGAGTTGCAAAAAGCACTTTAGGCCAGGAGTTCTCTGAGGGAGACTGTTCCCCTGGAGGGTCCTGGGAGAGGTGTAACTATGGAGAAGGTGCCGACAGAGAACCAGTCTTGTGAGTACTAACGACCCCGGGTGGAAATAGAGACTGTTAGAAGGAGATGGATGCTTAAACTGCTGCATATGCTTTCACATGGGACTACTGCGGACGGTCCACTAACTGTGATTGAATATGTAATGAGTACCATCAGTAATGTGCAGCAACCCTATTCATGTGTGGGAATTCCTTCCTTGTGATATAAAGTTTAATATGTGGAGGCCTTTGGCATGGAGTGGGCATAATATGGCAGAGGGTTCAGTCTCAGCAGGTTGGATAGCATTCTAGCAAAAGGACAGGAGTGAGACAGAGACTTGTGCTTTTGGTGCCATCACTAAGCATTTGCAAAGCCCCTGCTTACAACGTGGCGAGTTAGCATTGTCATCCTATACAAATTCCGAACACATACCAATGCAGTTCATGTTTTTCAGCCCGTTGAAGACATCTTTAGGGATTTTCTTGATCTTGTTTTCATGGATCCGAAGCTCCACCAGAGCCTTGGGCAGACTCTTGGGGATCTCTTCAAGGCTGTTTTTGGAGATGTACAACTTCTGCAGATTAACACACGGCTCAAAAGCTTTCTCGTTAATTTTGGAGATTTTGTTGTTCACCAACACCAGGGCCTGAAAGAATAAAAGAAGTAAAAGTTAATTCTTTGGTTTATTTAGGACTGCAGCTCATTGGGCTGAAAATATCTGAAGGTTCAACTCTGTGTTGCTCCATAACTAATGCTTAGATATTCTTTTTCCCAGTGTAGCTATGACTCTGTCAATGGCTATACATGTCCCTCAAAATTCACAACACCACGCATGCGTGGCCCTTGCAAGCTGCTTTTAATCACCTGGCACAGACATGTCATGGGGTGTATTTATGTTCTGCCCCACGCCTGTATTTTTATGTCTTGTATCAGGGGCTGACTGACAACTCATGGAGCCCCCGGGCAATAGGGGATCATGGGGCCCATGTCCTTGCCCAAACTCAAAAAAGCCTATTGAAAAGGTACCAGGGGCATCTCATGGGGCCCCCTACTGACCCCGGGCCCTCGGGCAGTGCCCAAGTTTCCAAATGGTCAGTCCGCCCCTCTCTTGTATTGAACTGCATGAGGTTATCACTTTTCAGTAGTATGCTGACATCAGTTTCTGGCCACTACAACGGACTGATGTGATTTTGGTATCTTACTCTGTCCTGTCCTCCTGTTTAGTGCTAGTTAGTTCAATCCTAGCTATACCCTCCCTATTTCTTCCATATTCCCTCAGTCAGTGTTAGTTCTTCAGGGCTTAGGAAAGACACTGGGGAAGATTTACTAAAACTGGAGCCCACGGAATCTGGTGTAGCTGTGCATAGTAACCAATCAGCTTCCAGGTTTTATTGTCAAATCCTAATTGAATAAGCTGAAGTTGGAAGCAGATTGGTTACTATGCACAGTTGCGCCAGATTCTGTGAGCACTGGTTGTAGTAAATCTCCCCCACTGTCTTCTTACACTTCTGAAAAAAAACATCCCTTGTACTGCAATTGTCTGAAATAAAACTGTGTTGGTTTCAACTTCTGTGTCTCATTGAAAAGTTAAGCTGCTTGTGGATGGTGCCAAGTCAGCAGGTGACCATAATGATGGACAGACTGAGTCTAAGGAGGTATGTCAATACATAAACAGCATTTGAAACAAATATTTAGAAAAAAAAATCCACAGAGCAATTCATGCTGTGAAGCTGCATGTACTTTTGTTCTTTGCGAAGGGGGGAAATATATTCTTTAGGTTTTTTTCATTCCAGGTCAAATGTGTGAATCAGGAATATACCACCTTATGATGCTGACAGTCACAGTAAATGTGTTTTATTTTCTATGATCATCAGCTCCATCTAGTGGTCCTCACTGGTCTACCATTACACAGGCTATATCCCCTTCAGTCTATTATGAATGCTGCTGCTAGGCTCATACACCTTACCAACCAATCAGCGACTGCTGCCCCTCTCTGCCAATCCCTTCAATGACTTCCACTAACCCAACGTATAAAATTCAAAATACTAACCACAGCTTACAAAGCCATCCACAACACTGCCCCTAGCTACATCACCAACCTCATCCACAGATACCGCCCAAATCGCCCACTCCGCTCCTCCCATGATATCCTCCTCTCCAGCTCCCTCATCACCTCCTCCCACGCTCACCTCCAGGACTTCTCCAGAGCATGTCCGGTCAGCCCCCACCCTGTCTGCCTTTAGGCGATCTTTGAAAATCCACTTCTTCAAGGAAGCCTACCCCACCTCCACGTAAGAACTGTACTTGAATCACCTCCACCAGATCATCCCCCGCAGCTATTACCTTTTGTATCATCTCCCCCTTCCTTTAGATTGTAAGCTCCACGAGCCGGGCCCTCATATTCCTTCTGTACTGAAATGTATTGTAATTGTACGGTCTCCCTTATGTTGTAAAGCGCTGAGCAAACTGTTGGCGCTATATAAATCCTGTATAATAATAATAATAATCTAGTGGCCGTAATGGAGTATTTTCCTGACACGACACAAACATTCAACCTGGAGAGAAAATAACCTTTGATTTTGGCCCCATTCGCACAGATTGATTGCACATGCAGTTTCATGAAATGCACAGCTCTGCAAATTTCTTTTTTTTTAATAAAAGTCTGGGTTACCTTTGCAAGTGGTGTAGGTAGTGTCTGAATGTCAGACTGTAGTCTCTGCAAGAATATGTGGATACAGCGAGACTCCAAAGGACCCTGCAAGCCAAGGAGCCACCCTTAGACTGGAAAGCAGGACTAGGGATCAGAAAACCCGGTAAAACTGGCAGCCGCCACTGTCAGCATACAGTGATCAGTGGCTGCAGCTGTTGATCATCGGAAAAATCCTCCTTTGACAGAAGTCAGTTAAATAAATGTCTTCTGTGGAGTGGAGGAGGCTACACACTGATCAAAATTGACATCAGTGTATGGCTAGTTTAAGTATATGATTTTGCCTTGGTACAGGCCTGCTGTAAACCCCTGTGCTGCAGTACTCAGACTGGGAGAGGAAACACTAGGGGCCACTCCTGTACAGTGTACTTAGCTGATATTCTGGAAAGAGAAGAGGGATACTCCTCACAGTGCTTCAGCTGTGCCTCAACTATCCAATCACAGGCTGGACGCTGGAAGGAGACCAGACTGCATTGCCTATTTGCAGTAAGGTAAGACCAAGGCCGTGCTGCCTGGCAGAGCTGTGTAAGGACCATTTATATTATGGCATTGAAGTAACCAGGGCCGTCTTAATATCATAATGGGCCCTTGGGCAAAGTAATGCATTGGGGCCCCTACCAGCCTGGCCCAATTTACATATCTGCTGTCAAGAATTTAAATATAAACATATAAACAGTTGATAGAATTAAACATATATTTATTAATACTATCAGGAAAATTAATGTTCTACAATAAAAAACATGCCATAAATCAAAGACTAAGCAACACAAAGGGCACAGTACAAGGGAGAGTCAGGGAGGGCACTGTACAGGGGGAGTCAGGGAGGGCACCATACAGGGGGAGACAGGGAGATCACCGTACAGGGGGAGTCAGGGAGGGCACCGTACAGGGGGGGTCAGGGAGGGCACTGTACAGGGGGGTCAGGGAGGGCACAGTACAGAGGGGCAGTCAGGGAGAGCACTGTACAGGAGGGGTCAGGGAGGGCACAGTACAGGGGGGTCAGGGAGGGCACAGTACAGGAGGGGTCAGGGAGGGCACAGTACAGGAGGGGTCAGGAGGGCACAGTACAGGGGCAGTCAGGGAGAGCACTGTGCAGGAGGGGTCAGGGAGGGCACCGTACAGGGGGAGTCAGGGAGGGCACCGTATAGGAGGGGTCAGGGAGGGCACAGTACAGGAGGGGTCAGGAGGGCACAGTACAGGAAGGGTCAGGGAGGGCACTGTACAGGGGTAGTCAGGGAGGACACAGTACAGGGGGAGTCAAGGAGGGCACCGTACAGGGGGAATCAGGGAGGGCACCGTACAGGGGGAGCCAGGGAGGGCACCGTACAGGGGGAGTCAGGGAGAGCACAGCACAGGGGCAGTCAGGAGGGCACAGTACAGGGGGAGTCAGGGAGAGCACAGTACAGGGGCAGTCAGTAGGGCACAGTACAGGTTCTGGGATGCTGCCCAGGTCATCCTGGGCCAGCTTAGTAAAAAGCGTGACTTTCCCAGCAAATCCAGGGCAGTTGGCAAGTATCATTTAATGCAAAATTATCATGGGGCCCCTATGCACCTGGGGGCCCTTGGGCAGTGCCCAGGGGTGCCCATGTGTTAAGACAGCCCTGGCAGTAACATATCCACTATTGTAACACATGGCAACAAATGAAACCTGCCTTTGTTTGATACAGTGCCATTCATTTTTAAAGGCATCCCAAGGTACCTTACTGATGGACGTGCGTTTGCAGTGGTGCGGTGCACTGGCAATATGCAACATGAACCTTTTTTAGTGCAAGTTGGTGTTTTAGGACTCCCATTCAAATGAATGTATACAAAGTCCAAAAAGAGTGCTAGACCAATGAGCTGAGAGTCCTACAACTTTTACTATAAGTTTGTTCAGAGAGACCGTACAAAGCAGCCGACGCATTTCAGGGGTTCAAACGTCTCCCCCTTTTTTTAGATCTCAGGTTTCAAAATGATGGGATTACCACTATTAAAGTATACAGTATGTGAACCCTCACTTTGGAAAACTACTCATTCTTTGTAAAATAGAAATGAAAGGCAACATTTGTGTATGGGTATAAAAAGCATTATAAATAAATTTTTTTCTCCTTTTTTTTATAAATAATTACATACCCTCTACTATAGGCTGCATAAAGAACTCACAGAGCTGGGGGAGGAGAAACAGCAGTATGCTGCTGGTCTTCTCAGTGAAGAGTTTGATCATTGGAGAAGAGCAGGCTGAGTTCCCAGCACAACTAGAGATCTGACCACGCTGTGCTCTCGTACCTAGTGTGGTCAGTTATTAATAGGAAAGCAGAGGGACTGGCAGGAACACCAGGGATTTCACACACAGGAAGCAATACAAAGAGGACAGGAGACTTTTTCATACAAGGATATGGTATAGCCGGCACATATCAGGAATACGAAATGTTGGGTTTACATACTCTTTAATCTGAGTGTTAATTTAGAACATATAAGGATCACTAATGGCAGATAACAGAATGATACAATATTGTTTCACCCTATAAGCCCACAGACATGTATTTACAGTACAGTAGATTCTGTGAAGATGTGAAAAGAATTCTACTGTACAAGTATTATATTTATATAAAAAGATTCCCTTACATAGAGTTTGCTAAGTCCTTTGAAGTCATCTTTCTTAATTTCCATAATTTTGTTGTTCTGGAGGTCCAAGAGCATAGTATCCTTTGGAATGTTCTTAGGCACACTTGTCAAACCTAAAACAGAAAGTAAAGAATGCTTAGTCAGTAATATTTTTACCATTGCACTTCAGTGTTTGGTACATGCTAGACAGTTATTCTCTTCCAGCTGTATAGGACGCCAAGGGTGGGTCCTGGATGGGTGTTATGTGGTCCCGATATTGAGGTTGTGGTCCCTTTAAGGGGGCAGGTGGATGTACTTCGGGGTCTCATCCGTATAGGGTGGGGGATTCTTAGACATTTGTACAAAGGGGAGGACTGACTCGTAGTCCTCTCAGCTTTAGCAGCAGCTCATTTGTGAACCGGAAGTTTGACATTCCGGTGGGAAAAGGACCTCCACTCCTGACTACGGGGACTCTTGGCCCTGCAGGGTTAAGCAGCCTCCAGGAAGCCGCACATAAGGCAGGAAGTTCCCAGTGCTAAGGTGTGGTGAGTAGAAGTTTGAGAAAGAGACCTGTTTGGGTGCTGTACATGTGCTAGAAGCTGCCAAACAACCAGAATTGGACTGCAAACCTTGGGGTAAATCCATTATATGAACTTTTTCTTTGTTTCCTTAATGATGTTTATGCCGAAGATAAGCGGCCTTTTGTGCTATGTTTTCTGGAATTAAGTCAACTACGTGTTATTGCTGAAAGTACTGTTTTGGTTTCTTTTGAAAGAAAATAGACACCTTTATGTTTAAGACACGTGGATTTGCACGTGGTCCCGAGGAGCTATACACCTGAACTTTACACAGGGGTCTGTGGAATCTTAGAGTTCCTCTGGTGGTTGCTAGGGGTTCCTTGAACAATTTATGACTTTTAAGCAGGGGCAGACTCACCAATTGGAAACTCAGGCACTGCCCAAGGGCCTGGGGTCAGTAGGGGGCCCCATGAGATGCCCCTGGTACCTTTTTCATAAGCTTTTTTGAGTTTTGGGCAAGGACATGGGCCCCATGATCCCCTATTGCCCGGGGACCCTATGAGTTGTCAGTCCGCCCCTGCTTTTAGGTATACATAACTACAGACACCGATTATCTTTTTTGCTGTCTGTAAAGGGGGCATTCTTCCCACTGACCAGCAATGTAAGGAGCGTTCTTCCCACTGACCAGCAATGTAAGGAGCGTTCTTCCCACTGACCAGCAATGTAAGGAGCATTCTTCCCACTGACCAGCAATGTAAGGAGCATTCTTCCCACTGACCACCAATGTAAGGAGCATTCTTCCCACTGACCACCAATGTAAGGAGCATTCTTCCCACTGATCACCAATGTAAGGAGCATTCTTCCCACTGATCACCAATGTAAGGAGCATTCTTCCCACTGACCACCAATGTAAGGAGCATTCTTCCCACTGATCACAAATGTAAGGAGCATTCTTCCCACTGATCACCAATGTAAGGAGCATTCTTCCCACTGATCAGCAATGTAAGGAGCATTCTTCCCACTGATCAGCAATGTAAGGAGCATTCTTTTCCCACTGATCAGCAATGTAAGGAGCGTTTTTTCCCACTGATCAGCAATGTAAGGAGCGTTTTTTTCCCACTGACCAGCAATGTAAGGAGCGTTTTTTTCCCACTGACCAGCAATGTAAGGAGCGTTTTTTTCCCACTGACCAGCAATGTAAGGAGCGTTATTTTTCCCACTGACCAGCAATGTAAGGAGCGTTTTTTTCCCACTGACCAGCAATGTAAGGAGCGTTTTTTTCCCACTGACCAGCAATGTAAGGAGCGTTTTTTTTCCCACTGACCACAATGTAAGGAGCGTTTTTTTCCCACTGACCACTAATGTAAGGAGCGTTTTTTTCCCACTGACCACCAATGTAAGGAGCGTTTTTTTCCCACTGACCACCAATGTAAGGGGCGTTTTTCCACTGACCACCAATGTAAGAGGAATTCTTCCCACTAGCCTTCAATGTAAGGTGTATTCTTCCCACTCGTTATCAATGTAAGGAGCATTATTCCCACTGGCCACCAATGTAAGGGACGTTATTCCCACTGACCATCAATGTAAGGAGCGTTCTCACTGGCCACCAATGTAAGGAGCAGTCTTCCAACTGTCGGCATCAGGGCAGCCCCTTACATCAAGTTCTCCATCAGAGTCACCCTTTCATCATGGTCCCCATCAGATTCCCCCCCCCCTTACATCAGGGTCCCTATTAGAGCCCTCCTTAAATCAGGGTCCCCATTAGAGCACCCCTTACATCAGAGTTCACCTTAGGAGTCCCCTCTTACATCAGGATCCGCATCATAGCCCTCCTTACATCAGGATCCGCATCAGGGACCTCCTTACATCATGGTCCCCATCAGAGCCCCACTTATATCAGTCTACTTTAGGAGTCCCCTCCTTACATCAGAATCCCCATAAGAGTCCCCCTTACATCAGTGTTCCCATCAGAGCCCCCCTTATATCAGTCTATTTTAGGAATCCCTTTTACATCAGAATCCCCATAAAAGTTCCTCCTTACATCAAGATCCCCATCAGAACCTTCCTTATATAAGGGTCCCCATCAGAGCCACTGTAAGGCTTACAGTATTGCTATAGAGCTGGGAGGTGGAGCAGGTCCGAATGGTGCATATTCTGTCCTCATGTGAATACTGGAACAAGCATGCCATTGGCTGATTGGGCACCTCCGGTTCTAGCAAATGGCAGGGATGCTGACAGCTGTGGGGAACTAACTGTGGGGTGTTGGGAGGGGGTATTTGTTGGGAGGGGGAGAAGTAGAGACTATAGACAGCCTCTGCTGAGCAGGATCCTCAATTTGTGCACATTCAGGATACACCACTGACCTTAGATGTGGGGCAGATAAAATCTTATAATGGGTCGCAGTTTGGAGACTCCTTCTGTAGAGCTCGAGTTGGGAATCAGGAATGTGCAACAGACACCTCCTTTAAAGATCCCAACATTGGTGGCTAATCAAATCAAATGAGTTTCAACTCATAAATTTGTTCTATTTATGTGTATTTTATACAATGTAAAAAAAAATAGCTGATTTTTCGTATGTAGGGCTCTAAAGACCTCTTTCATATGTAGATCCAAAATGTTTAAAAACATGATCTTTATAGAAGTGTTTTTACGCTGCATGGATTGTGTTGGTACATTTGTTATAAAATGACTATTTATATTCTCTCCTTTTCTTTTTATAAGCTGGAGGAATTCTCGGAGTCTGTATTCCATTTAGCATTAGTTTTTTATTATGTTATAAAAGCGTTGGGTTGTAGCACCATATGTTGACCGATGTGCAAAATGATACTGATGCGTATAATGGCAATTCCCCAGCTGTCCAGACTCACAGGAAATTGTACTTACAATTGTGCAAAGTCTGCACGTGGCCTCCCAGTGAAAGAGAAAATGTCTGGACAACAGATTTTTTTTTATTTCTAACGTGAATGGGCGATGGGATGAAGTGTAATGCCCGGTGTCATGAACCTGTGCCGGAGGAACCCCCTTCTCTCTTTTATGGTGAATGTGGGTTCCATACCAAGGCAGCTATAAGGATGAGGCAAAATGTCCCTGGGCTCAGTTCCAGGCGGGTTTGGCAAACACTCTTAAAGTTTGGGTGTCGAATCCAAAACCCATAGAAGTCAATGTGAGCTGAATGTTTGTTTAACCACTTCAAGTCCGAACACTTTCACCCCCTTCCTGTCCAGGCCAATTTTCAGCTTTCAGCACTATTACACTTTGAATGAATTGCGCGGTCATGCAACACTGTACCCATATGAATTTTTTAGCATTTTTTTGAGACAGATAAAGCTTTATTTTGGTGTTATTTATTCACCACTGGGATTTTTATTTTTTTTGCTATGTAAATGAAAAAGTCTAAAAATTTTGAAAAAAAAGTGTTTTTCTTATAAAATTTTGCAAATAAATAGTATTTCATCATAAATCTTGGCCAAAATGTATTCCATTATCTTTTTAGTAAAAAAAAAAAAAAATAACCCAAATTAGTTTATAACCAAAAATTATAATTTTTAAACATTTTTTTTTAACATTTTTTAAATTTTTTAATTATTTGTTTTGTTTTGTTTTTTTGTTTTACATACTGTCACCCTAGCAGTACACCATGGTGACACTGTACTACTTGTGGGGGGTGAAGATTTTTTTTTTTTTACACTGATTGCTTTTACACCCGTAAAGGCTGTAAAAGCATTCATTTCTCCTTCTCTCTAGCTGCTTTCTTGTAGCCATTGAGAACTGCTGTGTGAGCTGTGATTGGTCACAGCTTGTCACATGGTACAAGGCTGTTGTGAATAGCCTTGTACCATGTGATCTCTGTGATCATTCACAGATTTCACACGTAGTAAACAATGATGTCAGAAGTGATATCTTGCTTACTACTGTCACAGACCGACTGGCAGTAGCCTCTAGTGACCCACAGGCTAGAATTCCTCAGGGCGTGAAGTCTAAGCCTCAGTCTGCTGTTTCACCAGGGCCCCTGATGGTGGGGATGGACTTGAAGCAGCCTGAGACCAGGTCGCGACTCCCGAGTACAACCAGCTGTGGCAGAGGTGGTTTTGCCAGTGGTAGGTAGCAGGTGAGAGCCAGATGTGAAGAGATAGTGTGTAGCGTCGTCAGACAGGCCAGGTCGGTAACAGCGGAGGCAGACGGTACAGATCGGCAGGCAAAAGGATAAATGGGTCACAGGCTAGGTTCAGGAACAGGAGGTCAGGTAAACAGGAGAAGGCAGAAGAATGGTCAGACAAGCCAGGGATCAGGGCAGGAGAGGGTCACGATAATCCGGGTCAGGCAGGTTCGGCAAAAAGGCAATCTCAGAACTAGGAACAGGAATAACACCATACGGCACTTGAGCATTGCAAGAGCCGGCTTTAAATAGAGCGCCCTGCGCTGTCATTGGTGACAAGCACGCACCCGTGTGCGCGAGTGCGCATGCGCGGCCGCAACTGCCGCCGCGGGCGCCCAGGTCCTAGCGCCCGTGTGTTAGTGCGTTTTGGCAATCTGCGCATGCACAGACCTATGCGCCGCGCCGATTCCTGACTACTCTGC